AACGTCCCTGAGAGCTCATACACAGTCGTAAAATCCGATTTTTACGTGACCTGATACCGACGAAGAATTTCGCGACCGCTGCCGCTCCGAGGATTAAGTAGGGAGCACGCTAATCCCTGCTACCTTACGAGCCACTCGTTTTCCAGCGAGCACGGTTAAAGGGTCGCGTGCTACGCTCGCTTGCTCATTATTACGCACCGCACGGGCCGCCGGCACACGGCCACGGTGTGATTTATGCCCGAAATAGGCACGCCGTCCGAGACGGGTGTGTGTATGAGTCAGTGATACCACTTAAGGCCGAATCGCAGAGTGATGAATTGACTTATTGTCGGACGTAAATAAGAGCGGCGGGTGCCGGTGTTTTAACCTCGTTCAGACGCGATTAGACCGATAGCTTTGACCCGTGTACGGTCCTGTATTCAATTATTCCATTCACCGCCTCTTTTTGCCTTGGTCGGTTACGCCTTCGCCATTAAACACTGACTACGCAGTGTGGTAAACATTGCAACTTTGAAAAACGAAATTCTATACATCGATTCACGTCAATGTAGGTATCTTAATGTACGAAAAATTGGAAATAAATAACTAACAGCTGTATCGAGCGTAGGTTTTAGGTTAGGAGTGAAATATCCTACGAATTGTTTTAACTTTCAACCCTGTATTTATGTTTAAAGTTATTCCACGTCTAGTTATAAGCAATTAATAACAAAATGCTACAAACGTACCTTAATCTTTTTATAAATTCCCCCTGCGTACATAATTTTTCATTATTTTCACGAGAACTGACGCGCTACACGCTAGATCTTCAGCGTTTACAAGCGTGCTAGAGAACGAGGCAACGATGGAAAAATTCTGCGACGCGACACGAAACGGCAATCGCTTAATTATGATTAATCGTGGCTTTACCGAGAAAAGATCGCGTTATAACGCGCCGACCGATTACGCGGTGCAAGTCGCGCACTGCGATTGGCTTGGTCGCGCGACTTTAAAGAGCGACTTGCGTGCTACGCTCGTTTCCTTGCTTTCACGCATCGTATTGGAACCCGCAACCCTCTCGATCCTCCTCGCTGATAACGGTTAAGACCATCCTCCTCAGACTGCCTCCCGTAAATAGCTTTATTGCTGTAATTAAAATTATCGCTGCGATGGTTAAGCCCTGAGTATTACGTCATTTTCTTGCTCCATCTATTTTTTATTCCTTTTCCATTTAAGCATAGTTCACTTGAACTTATAAGATTGAAATTTGTATAGATTTAGATTTTTCTTTATTTATATACAGGAAACTTTTTTAGGAAAATTGAACTGACAATGCAATGTATCATATTAATAATTGTATTTGTGTCTTCAAAAAATCTCCACCTTTCTTCTTTACTCCAAACACAATCTCGTTGCTATTTCAATCAATTTCAAAGAAAAGAAAATAGGTATTAACACTTTTTGTGAAGCCCCCTGTAGCATTACATCCTTTATCCAATTAGAGTGACAAATTTCTATCTATAGGGTGTTTGTACACTGAATACTAGTACTGTAAAAAGTAAACATACATTTTACAATACCCTGTACACTATTACTGCTCAAAAAAATGACCACAAAAATATACTGGGTTATCTGAAAAATTTCAAAAAAAAACCCTGCACAACACTCTTCGTGGAAAATCGGAGCGGAACAGAATCGACTCCCATTAAAAGGGGCAAAGACAATGTCAAGAAGATTTAACATCCATAGCGGCGCAAACGAAACCGGAAATCCCGATATAAGAGGCTCCTGGGTAAAAATTACGTTGGAGGGGGCGACGGAAGCGAAGCAGTAACGATAATTGTGCGAAGCTGCGCATCGGAGCTGACTGAACAGAGAGGCATGCATTTGGAAGTTGCCCAAAGTTTCTGTCCCCGAGTCGGGGAGGCGACGCGACGCGGAGGAGGAGGACGGGTTCTTCCCCTCACGGTATTGTAGCGACGACGGCTGAAACAGCCAAAGAGTGCAGCAGCTCGGAATAGCGGGTCCTTTGATCCTCCCTCGAGGAAGCTGTACGCCGCCTAACGGGATTACCCCGCCCCGTGTAATTGCTCGTGAATGCGCAGATATACGCGCGACAATGGGAGCACGTCGATCCGACGGTGACGTGACGTCTGACGTATGCGTCGTACCGTAGACGACTTCTCTGTGTGCTACTGACCTCTGAACTCTCTCGCTGCACAAGTAACACACAGAGATCTTGAAAAGAACGTAGCTGCCGGGATTTACCAGCAGATATCGGTGCATTTATTATCATCGGCTCGTGGAAAAATAAATTGAAAATGTAGAATATAGTTTTTGCATGTGAGGCTTCGTTTTGGAGAAAAATTACTTTGAAAATTTGACAGCTAACGGGTGTGCCAATTGTAAGTCAGCATGGAATTTGGTTTGGAAATTTGTTTTTGCAGACTGTCTATGAGCTGTTGGAAAGATTAGACAGGTTAATAGAAGGAAGTTAATGGGCCTTCTATGAAATAGTCTGGAGATATTAGACTGTACAATAGACGATTGACGGAGGAACTTGTTGACCGACTGAACAGCTTGATTGGCTTGGCTGGTTCTTCACTTTGCGCCTGTGGTTAAATAGGTCACATGTAGCTGGAAGTTTCTGCTCTAAATTGTTTTATATTTTGTTTGGAATATTGTAGAATCATGTAGGATGTATCACGTGTAATGAATTGGAATAACAGCTGGAATAGGAATGCAAATGAAGTCCTGCTTGGCAGGTGAAGCTTTCAAACCCTAACTTAATGTACCATAACACCAACTGCAGTCTTTTCATATATTTGTAACATTTGCATTCTCCTGTATACTGCAAAAAATTTTTTTTCATTTATATCTATTCTATTGCCCTTAAATTTTAAAAAGTAAGGTTAGGTTTATATCTGTAACATTTCCCTTAAGTTTGAAAAAGAAAAGGGGTCAAATTGTGGAGCATCAAGATTCTCTGTTATCTTGGTGTCAGAATTCGCCTTCTGACATGGAAGGATGTAGCCCCGCGGCTGCACTGATTGCGGCGGACCCCACGACCTGGACCCGAGGCGTCGAATCCCTCGTCCAAGGCTGTCCCGCGTCCCAATCAGAGGCGAAATCAAATTGTTTAACACAGCGGACACCAACTGCTATTTAGAGGCAGCATCTGCCTCGCACAATCAAACTGCAGGATTCCTGGGATGCTCCTATCGCCACGACTGGAAAAGAAAAACAGAATCGATTTACCGATGGACCTCTTTTATAGCTGTGCTCTTTTTCGACGTTCAATTCACTCTCGATTCGACCTATAAATTTCGATTAGAACACTCTTTTGTGACACGGCAATTTTAAATGGGAAATTTGTACAGAATCCCTTTTCTTACATCCCAATATTTTTGTAGTATTGTTGTTTGAAAATTTCATTAATTTCAAGATCTAGCTGTTCCCAAAATCACTGCAATTCTCTCAAAATACATTATGGACGCATCGTTCTAAATGGAAAATTTCACGACAGCTAATTTCTCCATTATCAATCTTCTGATACTTAAAAATCCTATAATTTAAATTTCATTTCTTCCTAAAATTAGTCTAAATTTCTCAAAATCCTCTAAAAACTCGTCGCTAATAATAATCAACGATCAAGTGGAAAAATTTCCAAGAAGATAGACGCGTCACAGTTTCACATTCCACTTGCAAAGACCGAGCTACACTGCGAGCAGAACCAATTGCCGGGCGATTACCAGTTTCGTCGGTTTTCGGTGCAACGGGAAGATGAAACCGATAACGCGATACCGGACGACAGGCGAGGGAGGGAGAGATTTCCCGTAACGAGAGCATATAACGAGGCGAAATTAAGGGGCATTGTGCCTTAAACAGATTGCAGAGTGGCGCGAACGTGACCGTTGGCCATGTTTCCCCGTTGCTCGCACGTATACACACGCGAGCAGAGCGAGAGAGAGAGAAGAGGCTGATAAGGCGTAGGAGAAAGCATACGAAACGTCGATGGAACGTGAAGAGGGGAGGGAAACGTATACGGACCACTCAGCCCCGTGTTTGCCTACACGGAAATCCTCTCTAACGGATTCTAACGCTCGACCGAGCTTGTACTTTTTCATCTTCGACGAACCCACGATTTTCCCTTGCATCACCCTTTCCATCCCGATTCTCCATTCTCTGTCTCTCGTCCTCGACGTCGCGTCGACGCCTCTGAAACTCCTTCGAAGATAGGAGAACGTTCATTAGAATAACGATTGAGTTTGACGTTCACGATGGTGTGAGAAGGATATGAGTGTAGTTTGGTTCGTGTATATAGATTCTGTAGCTCAAAGCTAGACTGACAGAAGTATACTATATTATACTCCTGTCCCAAAATAAGTGTCACATTCTTATTTCGAATATTAAGAGTTTTTCTTCAATTGTCAAGTGAATTGTACCAACGAGGACGTCATTTTTGTTAATGGTACAGGGCAACCTAAAAACGACACTCGATAAGAACATCATAATTTTCACATGACTTTGAACAATGTAAACATGTAAAAAAATTTCGATGAACCTCGGAGATCCTTTTTTATCGTGCACTCTTTCAGTCGTGTTTGCTTTACATTCAATACCAGTGGAAATAATTTCGATGTTTGCTATAAGTGTGACACCCTGTAGATTAAGTTTCTTGAAGATCTTCGAGCTGTTGATGAAGGAACGCTAAATTAATAATGATTCTTCTAGAGGCTTCAAGTCCTTGATAATTTTAATACTTAGCTCAGTTGTTTCCTAGGATATTAGAGGCTTCGGATCTTTGATATTTCGGATTCTCTTCTTTTTCTTGTATTTTTATGAAAGAGACAGAGTGCGTTGATGATAATTTACCATTGTCCTTTTCCAGGATACGGGAGCAGCTTGTTTCCTAGGATATTAGAGGCTTCGGATCTTTGATATTTTGGATTCTCTTCTTTTTCTTGTATTTTTGTGAAAGAGACAGAGTGCGTTGATGATAATTTACCATTGTCCTTTTCCAGGATACGGGAGCAGCTTATCCAAGTCAGCACTGGACACGCACACCCACCTCAGGCAGCCTGGTATGTAGTAGGTAGATATTTTTGAGAAGTTACAGCACTACACCTTTTTAATCTACGGTTGAAACAGGACAAAACCATTCGGTCAAATGAGATTCGAACGTTTCTTAAAACTCCAACTCTTTGATCCAAAAAGCGAAGACCGGAACAATCTAGCAAGGAATCTTCAGTACACCGAAAATTCTCTGTTTTTTGAAACTTTGCAATTCTGCAGTGAAGCTCAATAGCAATACCAGGCAATTTTTAAAACAAAGATAGCGGAGGATGGTTCTTTTCTTTGAACGTCACAAATTTAATTGCAAATTTTTCTAGAGGCATGAAAAATCGTTAAATGTTCATTTCAAGAATTTTTCTTATCTACTATGTGTTTCAAGATATACAGAGTTAGAGAAACACGCGTGAATCTTTAAGGGGTGTTTTCACCCCTAAGAATCGAAAAGTAGCAAAAAAAAACAAATTGGGCGATACTTGAAATAAATTTGCAAAATTGAAAAAAAAATCGAAATTTTTGGAATACACGTAAATGTGTAAATTTACTAAATTATATTAGAAGAACGATAGGTGTACGTACAGAAGGGAGTCTAGAAAAACATAAAAAAGTGATCACGAGGTAGAAAAGAATGGAACGTTCACGCGTGACCCAATCGACGACGATTTTCCTGGGGCAATTGCACGGAATGACCTTCACGATTATTACGTTCGTCACTAATCACGCAAACCCCCTCGTTCCCGGCCGGACTTTTCACCGCCACGCCCAAAAATTACTCCTTCCGACTGATCAATAGCTTTAAATAAGTGGCCCGGGCACGGTCCCTACGCTTCCGCCACCTATTATTACAAGTATTAAAAATTAAACGGTGAAATCTAAGGATAGAATCTAATCCATTTGAAACAGAGCACACCATACTTGATCACAGGAGAAATATGAACGTTTAATGACTCGAACTTTTGCATCGAACACTTTGCACGAGATTCTAAATCAATTTAAAGAATACGGTTGATAAAATGTTTATTTATTTTATTATTTTACCAGGCAAATCCACCGATCTTCTCTCAGTTTGGTGAATTTTGTTTGCAACGTTAGTCTGACAGGATCAGAGAGACCCAAGTTAAATGTTTACTTTGAAAATTGTGCAAATGATAGTGCAATTTCATTTTATATATAAGTATATTTTAAAAAGCAATAAAAAACTTAGCAAATGAATTTAACAAAAAGAAAAATTGTAGAACTGAAGTTTATTAACTCTTTGTACTCCAAGCATTTTTTGATAAGATTAGACAGTAATTTCAGTGTAATTTTGCAGTGAAACTTTTGAAAATTCAAAGATTTGTTAAGAAAAAAAATATTTTTAATATTTAAGTTGCATTACTTTGATGATATTGAAGGAACTTGAATTTTACATTTCAAAGTCCTCCAGAGTAATTAAGTATGTCGCCATAACAGCGCCTTTGGAGTGCAAAAGGTTGATAGAATGAAAATTATTGGTTTGTCAGATCCCAACAGAATAACTAGAATCCAGTAGGAAACGATTCCTGTAATCATAAATGCCAGCTATTAGTAAATCAAATATCCGATAAATTAGGCAACACCATATGCGAAAAAAAGGTTTCTATGCTTGAAAAGAAAAGGGGAAAAGATTTCTAACATTTTTCATCCGAATATTTTGCCCTCTTTTCCACGTTCAACCACTAAAATCAGCATATCATTATCATCAGTTCACGGTCGAAGGTTTACCATCGACCAGGTTCGATTTGCATAAGCTAAAGGGTGAATAGAAAATCCACGGAAATCACGATCCAATGCAAATTGGTGCAAAATTTTCGTTAGAACGAACAGGGTGTACACGGGGAAGAAGAATGATTCTACAGGGTGTTTCAAGTTTTTACCAACAAACCTTGCCAGTATCTTCTATGAATACCTATAAATAAATAAGTCAAGTTGCATTAAAATGCATTAAAGTAACAATGTTCAATTCTAAAGTACAAGAAATGAAGTTTCATAATAAAAAAAAGTATCAAACCTTAATATTTTAAATATGAGTAGATACTTTTGCTTGCTCTGTGTTTAATAATTATCAGTGTCCACTTATTTTTCAGACCCACTGTATATTTATACAACATTTTCCTCATAAATAAAAAAAGTTATTTGAAAATTGAAAGAAGAGGTTGAAAATTGAAAACTGAAAAAAAGTGAAAATTTCTGAATATTAAACAAAAGAGAAACGGAAAGAGAAAAAGATGTTTGACGGGGAAAATCCGAAACACCCTGTACACCGTAGATCTCCGAAGTTCGAACAGGGTCACGCAGGCAATACAGGTTCAGATTGCCCATTTTCTTGGCTGACCAGCTTCGTAAAACGTGGAATCCTGAAAGAAACAGTGGCGTTTCAGTATTTCTCTCGGTGGTTCCGGTTCCCCCCTTACCGCTGCATCCCTCTGTTCAGCAGATAAATGGGTGTACCGCGCCCCTTCCCATTATTAACTTGTAAGTGAATTACCGTTCGATCGAAAGGCGATCACTCCGCCACGCATTTCAGGGGATTCACCGGGCGAAACGACCTTTGAGGTCCGGCAATTCACCAACCATCCCCATCGCGTACATACGTCTGGTCCCCTATCATAATCGGTGAAACGTATTTTTATGGGAGTTCGATGAATTTCAGCACGAATCTTCCGCAGATTTTTCGCTCTTCCTCTCGCGTTCTTGCTTTTCCTATTCCTCGGCGCTGATACGATCGTTTCCGGTTTCGTAGCTGAAAGAAGATTTTTCAAATCTTGTGATTCGTATCTGACTGATTAAAATTGATCGGTGTATTCACATAACATTATGATCTTAACCCTTTGAAATCTCTGAGCAATTTTTCCTCCACTCTTGTTTGGAGATAATTGATAAAAAAAGAAATTCAACACTGAGTTTAGTTAGGTACTTTCTACATTTCTGTACTTAGGCCAGTTTGGAATTTAAAGGATTGAAAGTTCGGTTCAAACGAAGAACGAAGTTGGTTTTTTGGGCATCTAAGGTTTAAAACGCTGTGGAAGAGAAGCG